TCAGCCAAAGTGCCCATCAACTGAAGAATGGATAAACAAGCTGTGGTACATAAACACAATGCAGTCTTATGTTATCTTGAAAAATAACAAGGAAACTGCATGCCACCTCCTAACATGGATGAACCTTAAGGACATTATGTTAGTGAAATTAGTCAGTCACAAAAGGAAAAATACTTCATAGGACCACTAATGTAAAAGACTAAGAAAAAGAATCCATACTAATTCACTAAAGTGGATTCTTAGTTGGTCTCTAGGATGTAGGGGTAGGGATAGGGGGTGGAGGGGAAGGTGGAGCACAGGGCAGGGAATAGACACAAGAAATTTGGGTATTGGGTGGGGGGCAATATACAAGTAGGGATCGGAGAATCGAAGAACAAAGCAGATGGGAGAACAATTAGACAGGTATGAATGGGCTAAATGGGACAGAGGTAAAAAATGATGTAGGCACAGCTTTGGAACAACAGGGCTCTGGAATACAGAGACTGAGACATGGATGGAATGGGGAAAGGGGGGGAATAATGTTAAGATGCTTGGCTGTCTTTTGAATCATGGTTTTTCTTGCAATATATTATAAATCAGACACTGTTGGGGGAGAGAAAGAAATAACCAGAAATATTAACATGGAAAGCTTGTAAGCTTGTCTTCTGCCTATAGCTGATTGGAATACCTAAAATGGGGCTACAATGTGTCCAGTGAAGGAGGTTTATTGAGAAGCCTCTGCATTACATGGGAGTATAGGTAGAAGCCAGAACCACATCCAGATCTTCAGAGACAGGAAATTTTCCACTTGAAAGGACAAGCAGACCAGCCAGGAGCAGCCAGAAAACCAGAAGATACTTCTTGAAAGAAGGAATTACAGGAAAAATACAAAAGAATAAGGGCAGTCCGACTGTTACCACAAGAACATACAGGTTGCTTGCCCAGGAGACATCAAGGCAAGTGGTCAGATCCTGTCAGTGCAAATTATCTTCCAAGACTAAGACACAAGGGAAATATACGCTTTGATTGACAACCATGCACGTCACCCAGATGGGGAAGTGACTGAAGAACATCAATGAAGTGGCAAGCTAAGCCCTATATCGTTCAGCAAACTACTGTGAACCCTGGTGGAGACCTGGTCCGCCAGTAACAAGGCAACACGTGGGGACTCATGGGCTCAGAGTCAATGACACAGCCACAGAGGTCTAGAGTGGAGAGCCGGGCGGCCAGCGATAAAAAGAGGCCGGACAGACGCAAGAACACCCACACTTGCAGATGATACCCATTTGACCTGGCTTCAATGACTGGATAAACAGAGTTCAATTTAAAGAAGAAAGTAGAGGAAAAAAGCATAATCTGATACAATTCGATAAACATGACCTACACCTATAAATGCAGTAGCTCAAAAGAGGAAACAAATCCCTGCTACAAGAACTATTTCCATCCCCTCCACACAAAGGGTAGACAGGGATGGGCAACTTGGACATTGGCTACCGAAAATGGGGGGAGGGATACAAAGGTAAGAAGTGACTGGCTTATAAGCTTTCAAGAGGGAACCTAGATCCAAAGGGCGTGGAGGAAGGTAGAGTCTCCACTGAATAGTTTCCAGCCTGTCCAGGAAGGGCTGATGAAACAAAATACAGATGGGTCTCTTGTGATGCAGTGATGAATAATTGTTATCAGGACTGATTGTGAGGGTTGGAAATCTAAAGGTGGACATTTTGTAGCAAGGAGGGGAGTGATTAACTTTTCAGTCTAGGAGCGGAGGACCCTAGGACCATCAATAGAGAAAAACAGAGAGCACAATCCTACCCAGTGAAGCGGTGAGGCCTGAGATGGAGGCAGAGAAGATGACATCAAGAGATGGTCTGGCTGGGGACTCGGGATCAGGAGATGGAAAGGGATGAGGACTGTGATGGGGCGGGGGGTGCAGGCTTACAGGGTACTACACCCTTTGGTTGGGTGAGGATGCATGGATGGGATGGTAACTATGCCAATGAAATGATAGGTGATGGAATGAATGTAAAGCTAATGTTCTCCCATGTAGACTATCACACAATTCACAATAAAACATTAAAAAAAATAATAAAGCATAGATAAACATCTTTCTGATATTCTCTGCTTTCAGCCAAGATCCACTGGACATCAGCAATGATATTTCTTGTTCCCCAGCCTCTTCTGAATCCAGCTTGAACCTCTGGAAGTTCTCTGTCAATGTATGATTATATCAGTTTCTGTATTATCTTTAGCAAAACTTTACTTGCTTTGAGATATCAAAGAGATTATCCGATGATTTCTGCATTCCGTTGGGTCACCTCTCTTTGGAATGGGCAAAAATATGGATCTCTTCCAATTTGTAGCAGAAGCAAGAAATCCATTGCTTTCTAGTCCAGGAACCGCTATCTTGGGTGAGACCATGTGGGGGAAGGATTAACAGAGTAGGCAGTTGGAATTCACTACTTGCTTTCTGAGAGAAAGATGAGGCTTTCTGCTCCTTTAAAGATGTACAGCCTCAGAAAACCTATATAGGGCCTCTATATGCCAGGACAGACAATAAAGCACATAACCACTATCAAAGATTTACAGCCTTGGGAATCCTATACAGGGTCGCTATGAGTTGAAACTGACACACAACAACAACAACAATGATAAAAACTTATTTTAAGAAAGGCTATGTGTAAGAACAAGGGTATACTGTTGTTAGGAGCCATTGAGTCAGCTGTCACTCTTTGCAACACTAGGTACAAAAGAACAAATCATAACTGGGTTGAAAAACAAGCATTTTCAGTATGTGGACAGCCCTGGAGCTTACCTGAACATTTTTCCCAGTCATAGCAGGTATCATAGCCACAGGTTTCTTTCTTTGTGCTCACGGATGAAAGTTTTGACCTTTCAAGACCCCATTGTAACTGTAGGCCATCTTGGCAGGAACCAATATACAGAAAATGCAGTTGTTGGCTATTCAAACATTTCTTGGCTGAAAACTCACAAGCAGATAAAGTAAAGTAATGGCTGGAAGCTACACCAAGCACACAGAGGTCTTCTGAATAAGAGCTGCCCAAGAGAGGAAAGCAAGTATTTATATATGAAGATCAGAAAAAAAAAAAAGGCATATAACCAATTTATTATGTTAACTTTCCACTTAGTTGTCTTTTCCCATTTTCCCCCCTTAAACCACTCTCTCTCTGTGCCCCCCTCCCCCCCACACCATTTTATTATCCATGTGCCTTAGATTCATTTTTCTAAAATTTCATTGTAACCTTAAACTTTCAGTTGCTCTCAAGTTAAACTTTGATTCTTTAACTTTTGACTTCCTTCCCAGTGTTTATTTTCTAGTATCCTAGATTGATCCTATCACCTGAACATTATTTTTATCATTTACCAATTCGAGAAAAAGGACCTCTGGTAGTGTAGTGGTTACGAGTCGGGCTGCCAACCTCAAGGTCAGCAGTTCGAAACTATCAGATGTTCTGTGGGAGAAAGATGAGGCTTTCTGTTCCTATAAAGATTTACAGCCTTGGAAACCCTGTACAGGGTCGCTATGAGTCAGAACCGACTCTCCATAGCACATAACAACAGCAATAATGTGAGAAAAGGAGTTCCTACATAAGAAAATCGTAAATATTGGTGGTTTGAATTCACCCTCCATATGTGCCTCCAAAGAACAATCTGATTATCTACTACTGAAAGGTCTTGGCCATTGAATACTGTAGGGAGAACAGTTCTACTCTGACATAGGTTAAGTCACCATGAGTTAGAATTAATGTAGCAACTGCTATTTTATTTCACTTGTTAACCTGAGAATATTATTGTTAGTTTACTGCCATCCCATGCCCACATTAGTAAGCAATGCACTTTCTCTTTTCTGTGCTCAGTTCCATTCATAGATACATTTTGAAGCTTTTTAGACTAGCCTAAGCCATGATAGTCCATGGTGCTATTGTGTTTGGTGCCATGAAGTTGGCTCCATATCACAGCTACTCTATGCACAACAGAACACTGCCTAATCCTATGCCATCCTCACAGTCATTGCTATGTTTGTGTCAACATATCTGGTTGATGGTCTTCCTCTTGTTCACTGACTATTTACTTCACCAAGCACGATGTCATTCTACAGGACTGAAGTATGTGAGACAGAGCCTCACCATCCTTACTACTAAAGAGCATTCTTGTACTTCTTCCAAGATAGATTTGTTCATCATTTTTAACTCTGGATTCAATATTAAGGATAGAAACATTGATTTAGAATGTATCATATCCACTGGCCATACAGAGAGCTAGTTTATATGACTCTTCTTTATACTCTCATCAAACAACTTTTTCCCCCTAATTGGCCTGGATAAGATAAGGTGGCAGAAGATGTTGATAGGATGATATGATTCAGTAGTGGATGATTGTAAACAGGGTTAATTGTTATTGTAAAAACTTGGAACTCGAACAAGGGTGTAAAATGAACAATCTCAGAAGCAGGAATGAAGGATTGCACTACAATCAAGGAAGAAGATACAGGAGGATTGGAGTACATCCTTTAGACCCTGGGATCCCTGTACATTGAATCTCTTTGACTCAAGGACAGAAGCTGTGACACCATAGGGTTTCTAAGGAACGACAGAGGAGCAGTAGAAACAGAACCAATAGCTAGAGCACCAGACACAGCAATGGGCTTTCTCACCTATGAAGCAAGTAAAGGGGAGTGTCTTTAGTCAGGAGACTCATCTGTAGAGTAGGGTGTCTCAATGCACATAACTTGGGAGCTAGGTTTGCTGACCCACAGAGTTAGAGCTGAGCACCTCTGGCTGAGGCTTATAGAGAAGTGGAGTGTCCTTTGGGAATTTATAAGCAGTGCTAAAAGATCTTTGTAAGGAGCACTGATAACTAAGTGGTTATGAGTCGGGCTACTAATATCAAGATCAGCAGTTTGAAATGACCACCCATTCTGCAGGAGAAAGATGAGGCTTTTTGCTCCCATAAAGATTTACAGCCATGGAAACCCTATACAGCTTTGCTAGGAGTCGGAATTGACTCCACGGCATACTGCCACTACCACCACACAAGGTCTTTGTAACATTGTTGGATCAGGACAGAGATCAAGGGACCTATGGCTGAAAGGCCAAGAACAAAAGAGAGGCCTGCCCTTGGACAGGGCAGATAAGAGACTGCCCTGACTGAAAGTACTGTGTCTTGAAGATTTCTAATCCTAAATTGTAACCTGTTAACTTTCTTAATAATCCCCATAATTGTATTGTTTCTGGGTTCTGTGTCACCATTCCTATGAATTACCAAACCAGCTGAGAAGTAGTGTGCTGTGGGAAGGACACTAGTCAGAATTTGTAGAGAAGGTTGAGGGTAGTTGCTTGTCTGACCTCAGCTTCAAAAGAATTGGCCTTGGGCTCATGGATCTGATCCTCCTTCACCTGGTGAAGTAATAGGACAGATGTTGCTTCCATATTATTTTTTACAATGCTTTTACTAAGTAAGTTTTCAAGGTGCATTGAAGGCATTGGCAAAGAACAAGATTCCAGTAATTGATGGAACACAAACTGAAAACTTTCCACAAAGTAATGCAGCACTTGAGGCACTCATTCATCTATGTCAAGAACTTTAGAAGACAGCTACCTGGCCAACTGAAAGAGATCCATATTTGCGCCCATTCCAAAAAGAGGTGATGTAACAGAATGTGGAAACCATCAGACAATATTATTAATATTACATATAAGTGAAGTTTTGTTAAGGATAACTAAAAAGAGCTGCAATAGTGCTTGAAGGGAATTGTCAGAGAGGTTCAAACTGGATTCAGATGAAGACATGGAATGAGGGATACCATTGCTGATATCAGATGAATCTTGGCTGAAAGCAGAAAATACCAGAAAGATGTTTACCTCTGTTTTATTGACTGTGTGGATCATGACAAGCTATCGATAGAATTGTGGAGAATGAGTATTCTGAAACATTTAATTGTGCTTACAAGGAGCCTTTACATAGATCAAGAGACAGTCATTCAAACAGAACAAAGGGATACTGAATGATTTAAAATCAAGAAAGATTTGGGCCAGGGTTGTATTCTTGCACCATATTTATTCAACCAGTGTACTTAGCAAATAATCTGCGAAGTTGGATTATTTGGAAGAAGAATGTGGCATCAAGATTGGAGGAAGACTCTTTAGTGATCTACAATATACAGATGATAAAACTTTGCTTGCTGAAAGCGAAGAGGACTTAAGATATTTACTGTTGTTGTGGTTGTTAAGTGCTGTGGAGTTGGTTCCAACCCATAGCGACCTGTATAGGGTTTCCAAGGAACATCTGGTGAGCTTGAACCACTGACTTTGTAGTTCATGCTGATGTTACAGTCCAGAACACTAACCCACAGTGCCACACCAGGACTCTAAAATACTTACTAATGAAGATCAAAGGGAGCTCTGGAAGCATATTGGTTATGAGTCGGGCTGATAACCTCAAGGTCAGCAGTTCAAAACTACCAGCCATTCCACAGGATAAAGATGAAGCTTTCTGCTCCCTTAAAAATTTACAGCCTTGGAAACCCTATGCATCATCATTGAGTCCGAACTGATTCCATGGCACACCACTACCACCACCACTACTACGACCAATGAAGATCAAAGACCACTAGCTTCAGTATGGGTTACATCGCAATGTAACAAAAATATAAACCCTTGCCACTGGACCAATAAACAACATTATAAATGGAGAAAAGAATGAAGGTGTCAAAGCTTCATTTTGCTTGTTTTACTATTATCACTCATGGAAAATGCAGACAAGAAATCAAATGATGAATTGTATTAGGCAAATCTGCTGCACAAGTCTTGTTGAAAGTATTCAAGAGCAAAGATGTCAGTTTGAGGAGTAAGGTGTACCTAACCCAAGTCATGGTATTTTCCATAGCTTCACATGCATGTGAAAATTGACAGTAAGTAAGGAATACTGTAAAAGAACGGATACATTTGGGTTATCATGTTGGAAAAGAATATTAAAAGTACCATGGGCTGACTGCTAGAAGAACAAAAAAATTTGTGTTGAAAGAAGTACAGTTAGAATGTTCCTTAAAAGCCTGGATGGTGAGATTTAGTCTCTCATGTTTTGGAGATATTATCAGGATATGCTAGTCCCTGGAAAAGGACATCATGCTAGGTAGAGGGTCAGTAAAAAATAGGAAGACCCTGAAGAGATTGATTGGCACAGTGGCAGCAGCACTGAGCTGAAGCTTCACAAAGATTGTGAGGATAGTACAGGATCAGGCAGTGTTTTGTTCTGTTGTACATAAAATCATCATGAGTAGGAACTGACTCTACAGCACCTAACAACAACACATACATTGACCACATTAATAGAATACATGGGAATCAAATTGACTGCAACTGTGGCAAGAGATGATAGAGAAACGAAATATCATTAGCTGAAACAAAGCAAGGAGTTGATTGTGGGACAGTCTATCAATTGCTCATATGCAGTTTAGACTGAATCTGAAAACAATTAAAACAAACCCATGAGAGTCAAAGAATAACCTTGATAATACCCCCCATTGAATTTAGAGATCATCTGAAGAACAGATTTGATGAATTGGACAATAATGACTAAAGACCAGAGGAATTGTGGGATGATGTTAAGAACATCATACTTGAAGAAAGCAAGAGATCATTAAAAAGACAGGAAATAATAATTGCAAAAACATGATGGATGTCAGCAGATTCTCTGACATTTGCTCTTGAATGTAGAGAGGCTTAAGTGAGTGGAAGAAATGATGAAGTAAAATAACTCAAGAGAAATGTCCGAAGGGCAACTCAAGTAGACAAAATAAAGTATAATGAAATGTTCAGGCTTGTAGTTAGAAAACTGAAAGGAAAGAACATGCTCAGCATTTCTCAAGCTGAAAAAAACTGAAGAAAAACTTCAATGTTAGACTTACAATATTGAAGGATGCTATGGACAAAATATAGTCAAGTATAACGCCAGCAAAGGATCCCATCAGTTTATAAGGTACTCAAAATATGACTGGGTAAGAGCTACCTCCTAAAAGTAGAGTTGACCATAATAATTCTAATTGAATAAAGCTTTCAGGACCTTTCTTTGTTAATGGGGCACAACTCAAATTGAAGAGAAACAGCTGTAAATATCCATTAATAATTAGAATATGGAATGTGAGAAGTATGAATCTAGGAAAATTGGAAGTTGTCAAAAATGAAACAGAATAAATAAGCATCGATATCCTAGACATTAGTGTTCTGAAATGGACTAGCACTGGTCATTTTGAATCAAACAACCACATGGTTTACCATGCTGGAAATGACAAATTGAAGAGGAATGGCATCACATCCATCATCAAAAAGAACATATAAAGATCTGTCTTGAAATATGTTGTCTGTGATAGGATAATATCCTTATGCCTACTAAGGAGCTCTGGTAGCATAGTGGTTACGAATCAGGCTGCTAACCCCAGGGTCAGCAATTCGAAACAACCAGCAGTTTTGTGGGAGAAAGATGAGGCTTTCTGCTCCCATAAAGATTTGCAGCCTTGGAAATCCTGTGCAGGGTTACTATAGGTCAGAACCAACTCGATGGCACTTAAAAACAACAACTAGGAAGCCCAGTTAATACAACTATTATTTAAATTTACGTACCAATCAGTAAAATTAAGAGGTAACCTATGATCAATAGCCAATGATATAGAAGGAGGAAGTAGAAGGTGCACTGAAGAGCACAGCTCTGGGAATTGATGAAGTATAAATTATAATCTTTCAACAAAGTGATGTGGCACTGGAAGAACTCACTCACTTATGCCAAGAAATTTGGAAGACAGCTATCTAGCCAACTGTTTGGAAGAGATCCATATTTGTGCCCGTTCAAAAGAGAGGTGACTCAACAAAATGTGAAATAATTGGACAATATAAACATTTTTTTAAAAGATAATTAAAAAATGACAGCAACAGTACATTGACAGGGACCTGCCAGAAGTTCAAGCCGTATTCAGACGAGGATGTGGTATGGGAGATGTAATTGCTGATGTCTGATGGATCTTGGTTTAAATCACAGAATACCAGAAAGGTGTTTACCTGTGCTCTACTGACAATGCAAAAGTCTTTTGATTGTGTGAATCATGACAAGCTATGGACAACATTGTGGAAATGAGTATTCCAGAACACTTAACTGTGCTCAGCCTGTACATAGACCAAGAGGCAGTTGTTCTAACAGAACAAGGGAACACTGAATGGTTTAAAATCAGGAAAAGTGTGTACCAGGGTTGCAATTTTCACCCAATTTATTAAATCTGTATGTCTAGCAAATAATCCAAGAAGCTGATATATATGAAGGGAAAAGTGAGGCATCAGGGTTGGAGGAAGACTCATTAAAACCTGAGATATGCAGCTGATAAACTTTACTTGATAAAAGCAAACAGGACTTCAAATACCTACTGATAAAGATCCAAGACCATAGCCTTCAATATGGGTTGCACCTTCAAGTAAAGCAAACAAAAGTTTTCACCACTGGACCAATACATAACATCCATATAAATGGAGAAAAGATTGAAGTTGTCAAAGACTTCATTTTGCTTGAATCAGCAATGATTACTCATGGAAGTTGTTGTTGTTGTTAAGTGCCTTCGAGTCGGTTCCGACCCATAGCGACCCTGTACAGGGTTTCCGAGGGTGTAAATCCTTACAGGAGTAGAAAGCCTCATCTTTCTCCCGCGGAGCAGCTGGTAGTTTCGAACTGCTGACCTTATGGTTCGCAGCCCGATTCGTAACCACTACGCTACCAGAGTAGCAGTTAAGAAATCAAACAATGTATTGCATAAGGCAAATCTGCTGCACAAGACCCCTTTAAAGTCTTCAAGTACAAAGATGTCAGTTTGAGGACTAAGGTGCTCCTGATGCAAGCCATAGTATTTTCAATAACCTACTATGCCTGTGAAAGTTGGACAGTGAATAAAGAAGACCACAGAAGAATTATTGTACTTGAGTTACTGTGTTGGAGGAGAATATCAAAAGTACCATGGGCTGCCAAAAGAGCGATCAAGTATGTGTTGTAAGAAGTATAGTCAGAATGCTCCTTAAAAGCCAGGATGATGGGACTTTGTCTCTCATACTTTGGACATATTATCAGGAGGGACAAATGCCTGGAAAAGGATATCATGATTTGTAAAGTGGAGTGTCAGTGAAAAATAGGAAGACCAACAAGATGGATTGGCACAGTGGCAGCAGCAATAGGTTCAAGCGCTGCAACAATTGTGAGGTTGCTTCAGGAACAGGCAGTGTTTCATACTGTTATGTTGCTGTCAGTGGGCACCAACTCGATAGTACCTAACAACAACAACATGCACAAAATATTGAAAGACCTAGAAAGCATCAAAAGAAGGTGGAAGGAATGCATAGAGTCACTCCAACTAAAACATTTGGCTAATGTGCATTTATTTCAATAGGTTGCCTATGATCAAGAACTGATTATAATATTGAAGAAGTTTAAGCTTCACTGAAGGCATTGGCAAAAAGTAAACAATGAATAAGAAAGACAGGAGAAGAACTGAAGCATCTGAAATGTAGTGTTGGGAAAAATATTTAAATTACCATGAACTGCCAGAAGAATGAACAAATATGTATTGGAAGAAGCATGATTGCTCTTTAGAAGTGATGATGGTGAGACTGATTTGATTCTGATTCATAGCAACTTGATAGGACATAGTAGAACTGCTCCACAGAGTTTCCAAACTGCAATATTTACAGAAGCAGACTGCTGCATCTTTCTTCTGCAGACCTTTTGATTGACCAGTTAGACACTGAACCACAAAGTCTCCTCCTAAAGACTACTTTATAGTCACTCTGAACAAAATTAGAGTTTAATTACTAAAGTGGAAAGGATTACTCAGCCATAAAGAAAAATGAAGTCACACATGATAAAAGAGGGATGGACCTTGAAAACATTATGCTGAGCAAAATAGGTCAATCAAAAAAGAAGAAATATTGTATTATCTCACTTAAATGAAATATGAGACAATACTACTACCTGGACAATTTGAACCACTATAGTGGTTTGCCAGTTCAAACTCACCAGTCACTCCTTGGAAACCTTATACATGGCCCCTATGAGTTGGAACAGGCTTGATGACACTTAATAACAATAACAACTTACTAGAGGAGTCCTGGTGTGGTTCTGTAGGAGAAGCATTGGACTGCAGGTTGGTTTGAACTGCAAGGCTGGTTGTTCAAACTCACCAGCTATTCCTCAGAAACCCTATACATGGTTCCTATGAGTTAAACTTGACTAGAGGGAGTCCTGGTGCATTGTGGTAGCATAAGCACTGGACTATTCACTGCAATGTTGTCAGTTCAAACTCACTAGTAGCTCCTTGGAAACTCTGTTCATGGTCACTATGGTTTGGAACTAATTTGACAGACCTTAACAACAACAACAACAACAATAACCCTACCAGAGGATATAACTCAGGTCACCACCCTTAGTTTCCATGGGGCATGGTCTGACTCTAATTTATAGGACTGCTTTGGTAAAGTTCATTCTCTTGCCTTGGATCTTGCATCTGGCTCATTACGTCTGACCTCCAGTTCATGGGACTTTCAGCTCATCATCTGACCTGATTCACGGCCTCCTGCAGCCTCTTGCACCAAGAGCCTATCGTCTGACCTGCCCATTTTGATTCCTTAGCTCTTGAGTCTACATGGATGAGAAGATTCCTCCAGACTGATCTCTGAATACAGATTTGGGCCTTGCCAGCCAGTCTCCATAATTTTTAAAGTCATTTCCTTTGACATTTGTGAGTTTTGTAAGATTTTGCAGTGTGTTTCAGGACCTTAAGATTTGAGGGAGGGGAGGAGTGGTGATTGATATCAAGGACTGTGGAGTGTATAAAATGTAGAAAAAGTCAAACAGTTGGGATACTTTTAACCTCCAACTCATAGGAACCAGCCTTGTGTTAATCTTTCTAAAAGAAATTATTCATATACAACACTTTTTTCACTTCCATTTTAGAATTTAAAAGCTGGCTTTATATTTAAGGGAAAAGGAAAAAGTTTTGAGATAATTGAGTTTGGAGTTTTAAAATGAACATGAATAAATCCTTATAGACAAAATGTTGTGATTGCTGTTAGGCATCCTTGAGTTGATTCTGACTTATAGTGACTCTTTGCACAATAGAAGAAAACACTGCCTGGTTTTGTGCCATCCTCACAATTGATATGTTTGAGATCATGTTGTAGCCACTGTGTCAATCTATTTCATTGGGAATATTCCTATTTTTCACTGACCCTCTACTTTAACCAAGCATGGTACCCCTTTCTGGGAACTGGTCCTCCTGCTAATATGTGCAGAGTAAGTGAGATGAGGTTTTACCATCCTCACTTTTAAGGAGGCATTCTGGCCGTACTTCTTCTAAGATAGAATTATTTGTTCTCTAACAGTCTATGACACTTTCAATATTCTTTGCTTACACCACCAACTCGTTTCTGTTCTTTCCTATCTATTGTTCTATAGCCAAAATGGGATTGTTTTAATAAACAAAAGCAATGTAAATTAGGAACCCAGGCTGTAAGATAATTAAGAAGGGTTATTACTCAGTAGGGAAGGAGGCATTTAACAGAACACAGTGGCATCAGTCATGTAAAAATTAATATGTTCTAATGTTTGTGCTTCAATAAGCTCAGCTCCTCCATCAAGCTGGTTACACTAGACTGGATTTTCTAATTTTCATACACAGTCCATAGGGTGTCTCTTACCTACAGTCTTCTTCTGGAAGCATACAAATGCATTCAGATCCTGATTGTTTTTGTCCAGGTTGACAATGGCCTTGTAATTTTGTCAGACTACCTGAAAGAATTAAAGAGATAAAAGTACACATCAAGAATCCCACATGGGAAGCTTGAATTCAGGATAAGAGAAGACAGTGGTGAAAATTTCCCATTTATCTCCTAGAATTATCTCCTGGATTTTCCAAATATGTTGTCATGAAATATTCTACTGTAAAGGTCATGTTTAGGTCTCATGAAATTTTTCTCAAATTTTCAATAAAGAACTAAAAAGAAAGTGGTTTTGGTGACATTTATGTTCATTTGCTTTTCTGTAATGAACTCCTAAAATATTTACTAGCACTGTCTTAGGTTCTGTCATAATAAACTGACTCCTGTCAATTTATAGCACTGTCTTATGTTCTGATTGTTGTTATTGTTGTTGGGTAGTATCAAGTCAGTTCTGGGTCATAGTGATCCTATGTACAACAGAATGAAACACTGCCCAGACCTGTGTTATTCTCACAATTATTCCTATGCTTGAGCCCATTTCTAGAGCCACTGTGTCAAAGACCTTGAGAGTCTTCCTTTTTTCTGCTGGTGCTGTTCTTACCAAGCATGATATCCTTCTCCAGGGACTGATTCCTCTAAATGGCATGTCTAAATTATGTGAGACAAAGTATCGACATCCTTGCTTCTATGGAGCATTCTGGGGATAGAATAAAATCTGACCTAGACTCCATGATAATGTAGCTTACAGCTTTGTGGGACAGAGAGTCTCCAAACCCAGTAATACAAATAAGATTGCTGCTAAGAGTCTATTAGAAAGAAAGCATGTAATCAAGAAAATTGACGCAGCCAGAAAAGTTATGAATGGTAAAATGGGGAAAGAGAAGGGTGAACATTCAAAGCAAAGGAAACATCAAATAAAATATACTTAAAAGAGAGGCAGTCAATGACTTTCCTGGACTTGAAAGGAAACTACTGTGGTTGAAGGACAGGTAAGGAAGAGCACAGAAAAAACACAATTGAGAATAGATGGGTGCCAGGCTCTGTGTACTCTATAGGACATTATCATATGCTTTATTTTATAAATAGTGGAAAGTCTTTGGTGGGTTTTAAGCAGAGGGTATGTGACAACATCAGGTATGGATTTTGAAAAAAGAAGTTCATTTTGGCTTTTATGTGGAGAAGGCATGGAGACCTGGAGAAGCATGGTGGATAAGAGGACCATGAGTAGATAATTTATGTGAGATTTTGGAACAGATCAAAGGAATAATGAGTGATTCAAAATCAGGAAAGGTAAGCATAAGTTTCATATCAGTTCATCATACTTATTCAGTCAGTATGAACAAATAATCAAAGAAACTGGACTATATGAAGAAGAATGTGGCATCAGAACTGGAGGAAGACTCACCAACAACCTCCATTGTGCATATGAAATAACCTTCCTTGATGAAACTGAAGAGAATTTGAAGCACTTCATGATGAAGATCAAAGGTTACACCCTTCAGCATGGATCATACCTCAATGTAAAGAAAACAAAAATCCTTCCAACTGGACCAATAAGTGTGGGAAGCGCTTAACTCCCATTGTTTGACATAGTTGCAGCGGGGGGAGAGACATTGTGCTCAGCAAATGACTCTCAGGGGGCTGGTCCCTATCTTCCCTTCAAGTTAACTCTGAATTCACTTGCAAAAATATATAATATTGCCATATTCACAGCTTTTTACTGTGAGCTCTACAAACCTTGGGAAGAGACAATTATCTCAACTTCAGTAGTCTGAGTTCAAGGAGAATTATATAAATTACTCCCTTTTACAGAAAACCTAAGTACAAAGTAACTGCATTTGTGAGACCACAAAAGCAGATAACAAATTAAAGTCAAGCTGACCTACCCCTATAGACCTCACCAAAATCAGTCACCAGCCAGAATTCACAAACCCCTACATACAAGCACCTGTGTAAATAAGCAGAAAATAATGAACTTAAGTGAAATAGTTTAACCTGATAGTCTACATTTCCTGCAGCAATTAGCCAATTTGGGCTTTATGCAACATAGCTTCCAAGCAATTTAATGAATACTTTAGAAAAATAAATAAGTAGATGTTAGTAATACTTTTTATGAAAATAATAGTACATTATGTAGGATACAAGATTGATAATTAGTTACTAAAAATAATAAGGTAGTGCAAGCATTGATGATTAATAGAAACTTATGTCACTAAGAAAATGTAATCAGGGGTCTGATAAGTAGAAATGATTTGCGTAAAGTTTGACTTAATCTTTTAGTGGAAACAAGAAGAAACAATTTATCACATACTGGGAAAGGAGATGAAAGTCAGTTTGAACATCATAGAAATATTTTTGTCAAAGTTGTCTAATGACCAGGTGCAAGAAAGTTGTGATTAACTGTGTAATAATTCAAGAAAAGATCAAAGTGTCAATTCATTATGTACTGTGTAGTTTTAAGTATAAAAATAAAGACTTGATGAGCTGGGCCAGAGGAACAGAAAAGGAAGAACAGGTAGACAGAGAAAGAGAGCCTTTCGATTGCTTTCATTTTTGCCAACTCCACATCTTCTCTCATGTCTTACAACCCCGCAGAGAGCTGGACTCCTGCAAATAAGGAACAGCATCATGATAAGCAGGGGAAATATTGAAGTTGTCAAGCTTTTCATTTTACTTGAATCCACAATCAACACCCAGGGAAGTAGCAGTCAAGAAATCATATGACATATTACACTGGGCATATCTGGTGAAAAATACTTCTTTAAGCGTTTGCAGTAAAGATGTCATTTTGATGACTCAAGTCATAGTATTTTCAGTTACTTCATATGCATGTCCACTACTCATCTGTCAGTTTGTTGTCCTATGATGGCTTGCATGTTGCTGTGATGCTGGAAGCTATGCCACCAGTATTTTAAATTAAAACCTAGACTTGCAATACTGAAAGATTCTATGTATAAAACCTTGAATGATGCAGAAAGCACCAATCGAAGATGAAAGGATTATGTAGAGCCACTGTACCAAAAAGAATGGCCAATATCCAACCATTTCAAGTGGTAGCAAAGGATTAAGAACTAATAGTACTGAAGGAAGAAGTCCAAACTTCAATGAAAACATTGTCAAAGAACAAAGCTCTGGGAGTTGATTAAATGAAAATTGAAATCTCTCAACAAACTGATATAGCACTGGAGGCACTCATTCATTTATGTCAAGAAATATGGAAGGCAGCTACCTGGACAAGTGTTTAAAAGACGTCCATATTTGTGTCATTCCAAAGACAGGTGACTCAATGGAATGTGGATATCATCAGACAAAATCATTAACATCACATGCAAGTAAAATTTTGCTAAAGATAATTTTAAAATGGCTGTAACAATACATTGATAGGGAAAGATGTTTCCCTGTGTACTATTGACTATGAAAAGCCTTTTTACTATGTGGATCATGGCAAGTTATAGACAATACTGTAGACATTGAATATTCCAGAATACTTAATTGTACTCATGAAGAACCTGTACACACACCTAGAAGCAGTTGTTCTAAAAGAAAAAAGGGAATGCTCATTGGCTTAAAATCAGGAAAGGTGAGTGCCAGGGTTGTATTCTTTCACATACTTATTCAATCTGTATGCCAAGAAAATAATCTGAGAAACTGGATTATATAATGAAGAGCGTGTCATCAGGGTTGGAGGAGATCTCATTAACAACCTGCAATATGCAGATTATACAACCTTGCTTGCTGAAAGTGAAGAGGACTTAAAATACTTACTGATGAAGATCAAAGACCACAGCCTTAGGTCTGGTTTGCATCTCAATGTAAAGAAAACAAAAACCTTCACTGCTTGACAAATAAACAACATTCATATAAATGAAGAAAAGATTAAAGTTGTCAAGGACTTCATTTTGCTTAAATCCATTATCAAACTTCATGGAAGCAGCAGTCAAGAAATCAAATGACGTATTGCATTGGGCAAGTTTGATGCACAAGACCTCTTTAAACTGTTGAAGAGCATAGATATCAATTTGAGGACTAAGTTGTGTCTGACCCATGCCATGGTATTTTCCGTAGCCTCATATGCATGTGAAAGTGAATAACTAATAGGAAGAATTGATGCAATTGAGTTATGGTGTTGGAGGAGAATATTAAAAGTACCATGAGCTGAACAAACAAATCCATTTTGTAAGAAGTACAGCCAGAATGAGCCTTAGAAGCCAGGATTGCCAGACTTCACCTCTCATGCATTGGGTATGTTATCTGGAGGGACCTAGAGGATATTGTGCTTGATAAATAGTAGGGTAAGTGAAAAACAGGAAGACCCCCAATGATATGTACTAGCACAGTGACAGCAGCGATGGGCTCAAGCATCTAATAACAACCACATATGCATATTCAAGCTGGACAGTGACTAAGTAAGACTGAAACAAAATTGAAGTGTTTGAATTACGATGTTTATATACTTTGAATGGCCAGAAGAACTAAAAAAATCTGTGTGGAAGACGTTGAACCAGAATGCTTCTTCTACGATAGGATGGTAAGATTTTGTCTCACATACTATGGACACGTTTTTAGGAGTGACTATTCCCTGGATTCTGAGGGCTAGGCCACCAGTATTTTAAATAACCAGCAGGGTCACTCATGGTGGACAGGTTTCAGATGAGCTTCCAAACGAGGACAGGTTTCAGATGAGCTTCCAAACGAAGACAGACTAGGAAGAAAGAGTGACAAACTACTTCCGAATAGCTAGTCACTGAAAACTCTATGAATAGCAGAGAAACACTGTCAGATACAGGACCGGAAGAGGGGAAGGCACTCAAAATGTGACTGGG